TACACTCAGACTCACACTACAGCAGCATGAGACAAGATCTGACAGATCACAGACACACACGCAAACACGTGTCCATGTCATCCGTGAGCAAAGCAAACAGACTTTGGCACTGGATCTGATTATGGCTGTGTTTACTAGGTTAGAGACGGACCCACTGGCCCACATTGATGCGCTGATAAACACTATTCAATCACAGCGTCCCAGTGCACTGCATTATTCCATTAGCCCACATACAGACTGAGCAGATCCACCAAGCCATTAGCGCTCCGTATCCTCAGAACACAAGCATTATAGACTGGGCCTCGCATCACCTGAACGTTTGCAGAATAATCATGTTCTGTGAGCCACATGAAGAGAAAGAGCTTCAGTCCAGCTGATGAGAAACTGTGGTTGATAAGGTCGCTGTGGTCATCTGTGCAGCTCATGTCTGATTTTGTTGTGGAGCAGCTGAACTTTTAGAAATTGCATTTACATATTAATGTCTCTCATGAGTGTCATAAAAGCATGTACATGTTGTTACTATATTTTAAAATGCCCATTATTGAAGAAACGCCTGTAGGTTTCAGAGATGCTTTTTGTTTCTCTTCTTTCATCCTTCTTCTGTCTCAAGCTTTTCCCAGGATTGAGTAGAAAAACATCAACATTTATGCATCTGACAGACGCTTTTATCCAAACAGAGTCTCACTGCATTCAAGACACATGTTTAATCAGTTCACGTTTTCCCTGGGAATCGAACCCAAGACCTGCGGTACTGAGCTGGAAAACAAGGGATTCTGCATTAGATGCCTAAACTAAGCCTGTTCAGAAGCAGCGCATTTAATGGTCTCTATACCTTTCAGAGTCCCACACTTGTCTTCAATCAGGTAAGATGGATCTCTAGTGGTTGACAGAGAAAACAGGATCGCTCTTGTTGTGCTGTTGGGAGCGGTTCTTTCCAGAATGACAAGCGGCAATGAAAAATACTGAGTCAGCAAGAGAGAGAGGTTAATAAAAATATGACAAATTACTGCACAATTCTATTTCCTCTGAGCTCCAAGATATTAGAAGTTCATTTCAGAAACACTTCGATCACAGCGGAAAGCATTGAGATTGTTTGCGATTCAAGAGATTGTGTGTCTCGGCCGTAAGTGAGGATTTGAATTGATTGTATTGATGGATTGAGATTGTAGCTGAGATGCATGAAGACTGAAACACAAGGGCTTCTGCTCAAAGACGTCACTCGTTTATCACTGACTAATCAGTCTGATGGTGAATTGACTGTCAGTGAATGATCTTTACAGCAGACGTCAATGAAGACTCATCAGGATGATCGTTCAAAGATTGCACACATTTTGTGCACAGAAAAATATTAATAATATACTGTATACTGAGAAAAAACATTGATGTAGAAACAAACTTCACTTAGAAATTGCTAGTAAAATATTTACTAAGAAATTGCAAGTAACACATTGATTTAAAAGTGGGATTTTGCATACTGTATTTTACTGTAAAATGTTATTCACAACAGCAAAACCGTTTTTTTTTTACACTAAACAAATGGTGCAACAAATGTTCACACAGAAATTGCAACTACATTTCACAAAAAGTAACACAATGAATGCAAAGTGAAATTTTGAAGTAGAAAAACTAATAAAACACATTCCAATAATCTTTCAAATAAAAAAAAAACACATTTTCCCCAGGATCAGCATGTGTTTGGAGTCTGATCATCAAACACTGTAATGTTCCGGCTGTATAGGATGAATGAGGCTGTAGGCCGTGTGTTAATGAACCCTGCTGTCTGAACGCTCAGAGAACGCAACACTCACATATAAATCACTGACGACTATCCAATCTGCCTCTTTATTAAAGCAGACGCCGTATATTCAGCTGACAAACTGCATGTCAGCACTGACATCATAAAGAAGCGGCACGCATTCATTGTCTTGTGAGGTGGATGGGTTTTCTCACACTGTCTGTGTTCACTTTGCTGCACTTCTGCCCAAAAAACCAGCATGCAAAAGTGAACATTAATATCATAATGATTGGGATCTTTTAACTGACCTGCGATTGTATTGTACACAGTTATCAGCCACGTGAAATGTCAAGTGTATATGGATTAAACTGCCCTGTGTTCTTTTGAAGAGGTCATGACATCATTTCCTAAAGGTCACGGTCATACTGCTTTGAACATTTCGCTCAAGAAGCCCATTTATGTATTTCTCTGCTAAATGATTTCTGTCAGTCTAGTGGGTTCCTTCTAACAGACACAAAACACACACACGCACGCACGCACGCACGCACGTACACACACACACACGCACGCACGCATGCACGCACGCACGCACACACACACACACAAACACACGCATGCACGCACGCACGCACGCTCACACACACATACACACACACACACACACACTCACACACACACACTCACACATGCACGCACGCACGCACGCACACTCACACACAGACAAACACACACATACACACACACACGCACACACACTCACACACACACGCACGCACGCACGCTCACACACACACTCACGCACGCACGCACGCACGCACACTCACACACAGACATACACACACACACACACGCACGCACGCACACTCACGCACACTCACACACACACACATATGGGGTGTGATATATGCACTTTTTGCTGATTGCTAAGCGGAGCTGCGCTCAAACTGCGCGGATATGGCGAGTGGATCATGCCGGGGATAACCTACCGAAGTATGAGGTGTATTTTGTGCATCTGCTTTGCAAACTAAGCAATCAGTCGTGCCGATCGTCGCGTA